AGGGAGGGAGGGAGGGGGGAGAAGAGAGAGAGAGATTGAGAGAAACATTGATGTGAGAGAGACACATTGAAAGAGATACATCAATAGGTTGCCTCCCACATACCCTAACTGGGGCTTGGAAGACTTGCAACCCAGGTATGTGCCCTTGACCAGGAACTGAACCTATGACCCTTCGGTGCACAGGCTGATGCTCTAACCACGGAGCAACACAGGGCAGGGCAAGAATGGACTTATTTTATACCAGTTTATTCACCCATACTCTGTAACCAGTTATTCTCTGGGCCCAGCATGATGCATTTTTAAACATTAGGGAAACTATCTGTGGCCCACATGGAGATGAAAACTCTTATCTTGCTTCCATGGGGACCTGCTAAGTCAGCCACTATAAATGATTAAGGTCAATTCCTAGATGCCCAGAGATAGAAGTGATTTCAAATCTTGAAAACAAACATTTGTTGCAAATAGGAATTTTTTGGGGAAAACTGTAGGTAAGCCAATGGAGATAACCTACTAAATGTTCTCTCTTATGTATGTCTCTGTGTGTGTATTAATGTGTATATGTACTTCCTTTATTTTTCTTATTTATATTAACATTAAAATATGTAACTTCAGCCCAGCTCACATGGCTTAGTGGTTGAGCATCAACCTATGATCCAGGAGATAGCGGTTCAATTCCTGGTCGGGGCACATGCCCAGGTTGGGGGCTTGGTCCCCAGTGGGAGGCGTGCAGGAGGCAGGTGATCCATGACTCTCTCATCACTGATGTTCCTAACTTTCTCTCCCTCTCCTTTCCTCTCCCCCAAATCAATAAAGATATATTTAAAACAAACAAAAATAAAAATAAAATAAAAATAAAAAGAATTAATTGGATACCTACTAAATGCAAGGGAGTTTAGGCCTTTAATGTTTTTTTTAAAAATAATTTTCATTTATTGTTATCCTTATTGCTTCTCACTTTTAAAACAGTTTTGGGTCTGTAAATTTCCACTTAGATCAGACAACTTTTCTTTTGGGAGATGAATCATTTTCATACATGTGGCCAAAAGATTGCCATACAATCTCTAGTGTCAATGAAAAAACTTGACTCAGAAAAGGCCTGGCCACTTAACACACCCTGTACCTCATATGCAGGAATCCGAGATGAAATTAATATGAAGTGTGTCTGGGAAGCATGTAAAGGGCTGTCATCATTTTTAAAAACTTCACGCCAATTTTTCCTTGATGATAAAGGGTAGGAATGTCTTCCAAGAACATTACTCCTATAGGGGAAAAAGGGGGAATAAGTGAAGTTCTCATTTTCTCTCTTTTTTTTTAACATTTTAAAATTTGAATTGATTTTTTGAGAGGAAGGAAGGGGGAGAGAAATACAGAGATGGAGAGAAACACTGGGCAGTTGCCTCCCACTCCAACCAGGGATGGAACCTGCAACCTAGGTTTGTGTCCTGAGAAGAAATCAAACCCACCACCCCTTGGTGTGCTCCAGCCAATGGAGCCACACCTGCCAGGGCTCGTTTCCTCTTGACTTTGATAGTATGTTCTCTGTGTCCACGAGTTATGTTGTGTACGAGGCAGGTGGCCTCAGCAGCTCAGTCTCCCCCTGCAGTTCGGGGAAGAAAGCAAATGGGTCTCCTGGAGGGGGGCAGGGCAGGCAAAGCTGCCCTCTGGGCCTCTCCTCCTCCATCTGTGGGCTACTAGAAATTTCTCTTGGAACTTACTACTTAGCTTTGGTGGGGCACTTAAAATGAATTTAGTAACATACTTCGGGCTTCAAAGTGACATTTTGAAAAGGGACAGCAGAGAGATTTAAGATTTCCTTAATCATCCAGGCCTCACAGTTTTCCAAGTAATGTCACCATTCTCTCCGCAGTCGCCTCCACCCCCGCATTACCATTGGATACACTTATGCCCTACAACACATTTCTGAAAAAAGTGATATTTTTGCTCAATAACTTTATACAGAAAATATACTACATCCGCAGTACGGCCTGTTTGCAGGGTTAAGAATATCTGAAATATTAAATTCAGAAAGCATGCTAAAGACCATTGTTCTTGGTATATCCAAGAATAAGAGCCATGTAGTTACGAGAGACCTGCGTGTTAGCTAGATGATTCTGGAATGAATTCCTGGTATCAGGGGATGGTCCTGAGCCTTCAGTAGATGGAGGTTCGCTTACCACTTGGGCAAAGCTTCTGAGGAAGCCAAGACACGCTGTTTCTCCAGAGCTTCATGTAGCCCCACTCGATCCCTCACAGTCTGGGGGAGACGTGGCTGGCATTGGGATTCGAACAATCTAGAGCAGCCTGTTCCGCTCGCCCAGGGGGGTCGGACTCGGAATAACTCCTCTGAAAAACAAACAGCAGCGGCCTGGCTGTTTACTGCCCGCTTCTCCCAGCCACGGCTCCATAGATAAAGGCATCAAAAATAAAGCGAGCCCAGGGCAGTGTTCCAAGCGGCAGTCATTACGGCCACTTTTATGGACCCTCTTTGGATTTCCTCTCCTGTCAGCACTGTGGCTGCAAGTTCCCAGTCATTTCAGGTCAAGAAACAAAGCTCAGAGAACAAGCAACTCTTTTCTTGTGGAAACCAGTTAATTTATAGGCTTCCCCTCCATTTCTGTCCTTCTTGGCTTTAAGTAATGTCCCATTTGTTATGATCTCACAGAGGATGAATCATTAGAAAAAAACAAAACCGGGAGAACCCCAATCAGCTTTGCCGATTAGCTTCACACACAAATCAGAAGGCTTAGCTGAAGAGTCCTGTCCCCACTCCCTTTCCACTTAAAAATAAACAAACATAAGCCAGTCAGAGAAAGACAAGAACCACATGATCTCACTCATATGTGGAATCTAATGAACAAAATAAACTGATGAACAAAATAGATCCAGAGACTTGGAACTGTGGAGCAGTGGGATGAATTTCAGAGGGAAGGTGGGAGGGAGTGGGGGGGTTAATCAAAGGACTTAGATGCATATACACCTGACCTGTGGACACACACAATAGTGTGGGGAAGAGCTGGGGGCGGTGAGGCAGGGTGGATGCCAGGTAGATGGGATTAACGGGGGAAGAAAAGGGACATCTGTAATACTTCCAACAATAAAAAATAAATAAAATAAATACAGCCATTCTTCCTGGTTTTGTTCCCATTTTCACTTCTCATCTCTCACCAATCCCAGTTCTTCTGAACTGTCCTGAATCTATTTCTTTGCTTTTGCCTGTGTTTGTACTTCTCTCCCCTCCTTATCTTTGGCCTTATAAATTTGAGAAAAACTAGGGCAGCAATGGAGGCAGTGATGTTTGACCTTATGTAGTTCATCTGAAATCTATTTTCCTTATTAATTAACTTGAAATAGACACTGAAGGAAAAAAGTGCCTGTCCTGAACATATTTCAGAGATTGCCACCCACTCGCTACTCTAGAAAGACAGCACTGTCTCCCTCTGTGGGAATTTGTGTGTAAATCCGCTGGTTTCTACAACACTGGGTTACTCACTCTGAACGCGTAGTTTAAAATGCTACTCACTCTTGCGCAGTGCAATTTTCTCCCAAGCTCTTTTCCGCAGGCGCCTTTCCCTCTGTCTCTCCCGAAGCTCCTCGTCTTCTGCTCGGGGTTCGTTCTCAGTCCCGTGAGCAGCCGCGGCTTCCCTGGGTGCCAGCCAGCCTAGGCTGGCCACGCAGGCAATGTAATGGTGCTTCCAAGCACCGTATTCACCATCCGTTGGCGTGTAGGGCAGAAACCACCCCAGCTTGACGCATTTGGGCATCCATAAGCAGTCCTGTGGGGAACGACATGAGAAAGAGGAGTGTGAGGCTTTTTCAAAGGTCAGTTTCCTAGTAATCATGCTCTCAGGTACACGGATAATTTTTAAAAATACTTTGAGATTTCTAGTGCAGTTGACGTGCCATCTAAACTCTACTCTGGGAAATAAAAAACATTCCTTTCTCCATGGCAAAACTATTCTTTGATGAACATATACATTATACATGAATACATGTATTAGTCATCTCTGCATACTCACCTCATGCTCCCATAGCATTTGGTTACTTTAAGCCTAGAGTTCAAATTTCCAGTGACAATAGCCTTTAAACAGGAAGGTGAAATAAAGACATTTAAAAATAAAAACTAAGAGAATTTGTCAGCAGCAAGTTGCATGAAAATAAATATTGAAGAGAATTTAGAAGGAAAATGAGTGATAATGGAAGCTCAGAGGTGGAGGAAGCCATGAAGAGCAAAAAAAAGTAAATATATTGTCACTTATAAGTAAATACTGACTGTATAAAATAATAGTAATAAGAGGGGCTGGGGGAAAAGGTGAAGGGAGTAACAAGTACAAGTTGGTAGTCACAGAATAGTTACAGGGATGTAAATTACAGCCTAGGGGACATAGTCAATAGCATAACTGTATGGTGCAGGTGTACTAGAATTATC